AAGGTAAAATCTTTGTTAACAAACAACTAAAATTAAGTATCTTAACTTAATAGGCTATAGGCTATTTCCTGACCACAAATTGCTGTGAGCTGGACCTTAGCGCCAATAAATTAGTCCCATTAGGTCAGGATAATATCTATAGTCTGATAATCCATGTTCTTTTCCTTTTCATATTACGTTATAATTTGTTAGTTTAACTGCTCATAGTTGAACCTTATTAAATAAATACAAGTACATTCCTGAGTCTCACCTCCACCATTTTGTCGTCGGCATCTCTCTCGGAGGACTCCATGTCTTTCCCCTGGTTAGGTCGCCTGCATCCGACTCGTAGTGGTCCAAGATGTCGTCCGACATCTCCGAAGCTACGTCCGACGCCGCGGTTTGCTTTCCGCTTCCGGGACCTCTGACAGGTCAAGATCAGGCTGGATCTCTGCTTGCCTGCCCTTAGAGTCGGATTTGTAGGGGGCTATGGTCACCTTCCGGTATTCCGTCTGACTTTTTCAGGAGCTCGAGAGACTCCTCATTAGGGACGAGGATTATCTGGCACCTCTGTCCAGTAACCTCATCCACCTTGGCCACCTTCCAATCGGCTTTAGGAAAGTGGGGGTTGCAGACCTGCAGAACCTTCAGGATCTTCTCCGGCTCTGCAGTTGGTTTTTGTTTTTGTTGGCAATTTTTAGATCTTGGCATGTTGTTTCCACGAGTCGGCGGGAAGTGGATAGTCACCAGAGTCATAGTCCGCTTGCCCCGGGAAACCTAAGTTAAACTGGAGGTCGGCAGGTAGCCAGAGTTCGCATGTACAGCACCGAGCTCCCCCTAGTCCGAGGGTACAGTTATGGCGAGACAGACCTTCATCCGTTAGTCCCCATGTATCACCCGAATAGCTGACGGCTGGGTTGGTGTGAAGCCTTGTATACAATTACCATGAACGACGTGCAATAATGAGTCCTAGAAAACGACGAGAAACAATGATACTAAACGTAATGATCAAGAACGATGACGGCGACGCGAAAGCGTCTGTGTGGTATAAGAAGAAATCTTGACTTTTGTTCGAGTGTGGCAACGAGATTTTTAAAGGATTTGGCAAAAGTCAAAAATAATATGAGCGCTTTGGATGATTTGAATACACCACAATGTATCTCCGTAATGAAGTATTGGACTAGCTGTTGCAAGATATATCCATTGCATTATACGTTTTTGAAAGTGGAGGGCTATCGTGACGTTCTTTACACATTCTTTTAAATTCAGTCTCCCATTGAACTTTCTGGCAACCCTAAAAATTAAATACTTTTTACTTATTTGTGAATAACAAAAGTTCTGTTTTCGAAGGATAAGCTCTCAGTCGCGTGATTTTGTCCATTTTGACAGTCGCGCGAGCTTTGCGGTCAGTAAATCGCAGAGTTTTGAGAGAGTTTTCCCAAGAAGATAATGGCAACGTGGCGCAGTGCGAAAGCTTCAGCCGACAAGAGGTTGCAAAATTCAAAACTTTTATGAGCGCATTGGATAAAATAAATGCACTCATGTAATGAACAAATTTCCAGAGCTTTCAAAAATCTATCTTATCAGATACATAACACTACTCGACCAAATTTAACTTTTTTTTTCGAGCCAAGCGGACTTTTTGTGATAGATTAGGTGCTTTTTATACCCGTACTCAAAAAGAGTTAAGGGGTATATTAGATTTGTGGTAAAAGTGGATGTGTGTAACGCAGAGAAGGAAACGTTTCCGACCCCATAAAGTATATATATTCTTGATCAGCATCAATAGCCGAGTCGATATAGCCATGTCTGTCTGTCCGTCTGTCCGTCTGTCTGTCTTGTTGAGCGCCTAGATCTCAGAGACTATAAGAGCTAGGGCAACCAAATTTGGTTTCCAGACTTATGTGATATCCCACTGCTACAAGTGTATTTCAAAATTTCGCCCCGCCCCCTTCCGCCCACACAAAAGACGAAAATCTGTAGCAGGCACATTTTTATAGATACGATAAAACTAAAAACGCAGTATCGTAGAGAATGACCATATCTACCAGATTGCCGAATCTCAATCAGATCGGATCATAATTATAGCCAGAATGAAGAAATTAATTTTCAGTTGCTTCACCTCCCCATCCCGCGCACGACAACGCAACTCATTTTCCTTCTCGCTCGCACACTCTGCCGCGTTCAGTGCGCGAGCAACCCCTAGCGGAGGAGATGTAGAATATGAATGGAACATGTACAATCTACATGTTAGATGTAGAATATACATTGTAGATGAGATGTAGATAGCAGATGTAGCAAAAAAATATAAAATGTAAAATTTTTTTTTTTTAATTCTAAAATTCTAAAAAATCATAAGCTCAATAATGTATATACTGACTGAGTACGGGTATAAGTAGAGTCGTGTCCCCAGAAACGACTCACACGTTCCTTCTCGTTTTTATTATGACAGAACATTTTTTTCAATAATTTTTGAAAATTGGTATTTGTTTTAATTCTTTTTTAGAGATAGCGCTTTTTTCACAAAAGTTAAGCCCTGGCCTTGAAATGTCCGGAAGAGCAGTAGGCAAGGTGGGAGAATTGATGACGCGGTAACTTTTGTGTTTTTTGGTTATTATTAATGCCTTTATTCGTTTTACTTTTTTACAATTCGAGACCTGCTGGTCTTGCTAGTAGTGCTGTAGGCTGGTGGACTGCCAAGGTAGTGTCTTGAGTTTTTGACTGCCTAGTGCAGTGTCTTGTGTGTTTGGGCTGATGGACTGCCCAGTGCAGTGTCTTGGGTTTGTGACTGTCTAGTGCAGTGTCTTGTGTTCGGGCTGATGGACCGCCTGCTGATTTGGCCGAGCTTGGACTTTTTAAGCAGCTGGCGATCGCACCTGAGATCCGGAAATAATTGTTTATTGTTAACTTATGCTTATTGGGTGACAATAATTGTGGGGAGTGGAAGTGGGTCGAAGCTTGGTGCTTCGTTGACAATTGGCTATGGGTCAGTGTTGTTGAGGAAGTGTTTTGCTGAGACTGCATCGCAGTAGGTGCGGGCTGCAGTTGGGAATTGGGTTTAAAAATGCGGTTTTGCTTACTCTGCATCGCAGAAGGTGATAGCTGAATGGTAGGTCGATAGTTCGAGGCTGAGTGGTTGCGAAATATCCCAAGAAGTGGGTGACCGAGAAAAAGAGTTAAGAGGAATATTAGATTTGTGGCAAAAGTGGATGTGTGTAACGCAGAGAATGAAACGTTTCCGACCCCATACAGAATATATATTCTTGATCAGCTTCAATAGCCGAGTCGATAGAGCCATGTCTGTCTGTCCAAAGACAATATAAGTATAACATGCGTAACGCTCATACATTTCAATTGCCATATGCAAGACAATTTTTCGGCCAGCGACGAAATTCGCGCCATCTCGCTCGCACAAATTTGAGAGCGTACGAATCTAAAAATAGAATCCGCTTGCATGTGTAAGTACACACAGAACAGCAAGTGCGTATGTGTGCGTACTTGTGCTCAGCGGACGATTTTCGAGACGGAAACCTTTTTATGAGTTGAGAAACGAAATTATATACCGGCGTTGAATACGTCGCATCTTGAATACCCTAATGGCAATTATTCCAATGTGAAGTCATGTATTAAATATATTATGTATTTTTATATATGTATATCCGATCATCATTATCGAATATACCATCTTAAAATAAATTATCGTTGGAGGGATATACATATACAATATAACAGTTTTTTAATATTGGGGTGGTAAGCGTCTTGCAAAATTAACTTACACTTATAAAGTGAAGGGTATATTTCGACAGCGCTGTAAAAAACGTATGCATGTGCACACATACAGTCGTCGCGACGACTCGGCTCGGCTGTCGCATCGGCAAAGAACCAACTTCGTGTGCCTTCGTATGCTGTATGCATACAAGAGAGCGGCTGGCTCTAGAGCGCTCTCTCTCTCTAAAAAATTTCAAGAGAGCCTGGAGCCAGCTCTAGAGCCAGCCTCAAAAATTCGTGTGCAGAAATTTCGTATGGCGTTACGCATCTTATACTTATATTGTCTTTGGTCTGTCCGTCTGTCTGTCTGTCCGTCTGTCCGTCTGTCCGTCTGTACGTCTTGTTGAGCGCCTAGATCTCAGAGACTATAAGAGCTAGGGCAAACAAATTTGGTTTCCAGACTCATGTGATATCACACTGCTACAAGTGTATTTCAAAATTTCGCCCCGCCCACACAAAGGACGAAAATCTGTGGCAGGCACATTTTTAAAGATACGATAAAACTAAAAACGCAGTATCGTAGAGAATGCCCATATCTACCAGACTGCCGAATCTGAATCAGATCGGATCATAATTATAGCCAGAATGAAGAAATTAATTTTCAGTTGCTTTCCCCACCACCCCCTGCACGAGATTCGCTACTGATTCTCTTTCTCGCTCGCACACTCTGCCGCGTTCAGTGCGCGAGCAACTCCCAGCGGAGGAGATGTAGAATCTAAATGGTACATATACAATCTACATGTTAGATGTAGAATATACATCTATACTATAAATTTGTAGAAAAAAATATGTGTGTAAGCGGCTATCTCCGCAACGCGTGCACCAAATTGCATGCTGTTTTTTTAAAATGATAGCCAGAGATTGTGACCTGATTTGCACAAACAAATTTGTACTTTTCTATAAATAGGTTCCTCAAGAATTAAAAATGAATCAAAAAAATCTTAAATTTGGTCCAAAAGTGTGTGTTTGAACGACTATTTCATTTCATTTCTCCGCAACGCGTGCATCAAATTGCATGCGGTTTTTTTTAAATGATAGCCAGGGTATGCGTCATTCTTTTTTTACAAAAGTTTTCACTTTTCTATAAATAGGTTCCACAAAAATTAAAAATTAATCAAAAAAAAAAATCTCAAATTTGGTCTAAAAATGTGTGTTTGAACGCCTACTTCATTTCATTTTGTGTCATTCTGTAGAACAAATTTGTTCTACACTTTTTGTGTGAAAATTTGTTTTTTGAAAAAATTGCAAAAATCAAAATCGACGCGTTCGCGTACATTAGTGTCACCAATTACGCTTCTCATAGGCAAATTATAATTGGTCAAATGAACGACCGTTGTCGCCATTGTCAGGCATTAAAATTTAAAGGTGAAGAAGATGGGATGTGCTGTGCGTGTGGTAAACTGAAATTGTCTGAATTAAGCAGCCCACCACAACCATTGAGCACATTACTTAATGGATTCACACCTGAGTCCAATCATTTTTTGAACAATATACGAAAGTATAATTCGAGTTTTCAAATGACATCTTTTGGCGCCAAAAATATTATAAGAGACAACTTCATGGCCGTTCAAGGTAATTAAATAGTTTTGTTTATGCAAATTGTACGTTTTTGCTCATTCTATCATATATTTTATTCAGATTCAAGGTCAAATATACCATCGATCTGGCTCTTTGTTACCTTTCGACAACGCAGACCACCAATTTTTCAAATTATATTTGATCGGGAACGCGGAAGACGAAACCGATCGTCGGTGTGCCATTATCACCAACACGCGGAGACAAATTATTTTCGATTTGCAAAATATGTTCCATGAGCACAACGAATTGGTTCAGGTTTTCAAAACATCGCTTGATCGAATGCCATCTGACGATCATAAAATTGTTATTCGAGCTGATAAAACACCGGTTGGCGAACATGCAAGGCGTTTCAATGCACAAACAGTTGACGAAGTGGCAATAGTCATAGTTGGTGAGCAATTTAATAATCGTGATATTGTGCTTCATCGTAGAAATGAACAACTTGAACGTGTATCCGAGACTCATCGCTATTATGATGCACTACAATATCCCATATTTTTTTGGAGCGGACAAGATGGCTATAATTTCCACATTAAAATGATAAATCCAGTAAACGGTCGAGAAGGAACAAAGAAAGTTAGTGCTATGAGCTATTACGCATACAGGCTGCAGATACGGCAAAATCAAGACAGCCACATATTGAGGTGTAGAGCACTTTTCCACCAGTATATTGTTGACATGTATTCAAAAATTGAATCGGAACGGTTAAATTTTCTTCGATTAAACCAAGCCAAATTACGTTCCGAAGAGTATGTTCATTTGCGTGATGCCATTAACAACGATGGTAATGCACAAAACGTTGGAACTATGATAATATTACCGTCATCGTATGTTGGAAGTCCACGTCATATGTTTGAGTACGCGCAAGATGCGATGTCATATGTTCGCCGTTATGGTCGACCAGACCTCTTCATCACCTTCACGTGTAATCCGCAATGGGAAGAAATCTCGGAATTATTGTTTGTTGGCCAAACATCGAAAGATCGCCATGATATTTTAGCACGTGTTTTTAGACAAAAATTGAAATCACTCATGGATTTAATTGTCTGTTCAATGTTGGATGTATTCGATTGAATGGCATTTGGCTGATTGAAAAAATAAGGCCGAATCAAATTGACGATGTGATTTCGGCAGAAATTCCAGATCCGACAGTGGATCCTGAATTGTTTGAAGTGGTCACCAAAAATATGATTCACGGATCATGTGGTGCGTTGAATTTAAATTCACCCTGTATGGTTGAATGGAAATGCTCCAAACTTTTTCCAAAAAATTTGGTCTCCGATACAGGAGACGTTGACGGGCAACGATGGATATCCCGAATATCGGCGTCGATCAACTGAAGATAATGGCCATTCGGTAACTTTGAGAGTTTAAAATCAAGATTTGGAGATTGATAATCATTGGGTTATCTATTAAATCTATTAAATACATTTGCAAATACATCAACAAGGGCAGTGATATGGCTGTTTTTGGAGCAGTTGCTAATGTTACCGATTAAATCACTCAATTTCAAATGGGCAGATACATCAGTTCAAATGAAGCAGTATGGCGCATATTATCATTCCCGATCCATGATAGGCATCCAACTGTAGTTCATTTAGCTGTTCATCTTGAAAACGGTCAACGCGTTTTTTTCACACCCGGAAATGCAATGCGAAGAGATGCGCAACCACCTTGAGCTATTAATTGAGCGGGTGCCAAAAGGACTACACTGGAAGACGTTCCTACTTTACCAAGATGACATTATAGTGAGCTCGACTTGAAAGAGTTGTTGCGGCTTCTTATTTCTATTAATAAAATTTTGTTTTTGTCTTGGTGAAAAAACATTTTCCAGCAGGAGTACGTCTGGTTGTATGCCTTATACTGCCATCATGAAAGTTGTTATTTTTAATAAATTGAATAACATTCTTAACTAGCTCGCTGCAGCTCTTCTTCTGGATGTACATATGTAAATGGCCTTATCTTCTTTTGGGTCTCTAGTCAAGCTTCGGTAAGCTAATCTTTTGCATTATTAGCCAGCAGCGAAAATATTTGATATTTGGCGTCACAGCCAAACCAGCTTTTTTATTTATTTATTTTTAATTCTTGTGTTTGCTTTGCTTTATTGTCGGAATTAGCGCTGGACCATTCATTCGATATTGTCATAACATTCTGCCTTTGCGTTGCATATGTTGAGAACGCTGTCGCTATCGCGTTATTGGTGACGAAGACTCTTGTGTTGGAGCGCTGCTTAAGTCGGAAACGTTTCCGACCCCATAAAGTATATATATTCTTGATCAGCATCAATAGCCGAGTCGATATAGCCATGTCCGTCCGTTCGCCTTGATGACCGTGTTTCCAGACTCATGTTATATCACCCTGCTACAAGTGTATTTCAAAATTGCGCCCCGCCCCCTGAATCTAAATCAGATTGGGTCATAATTATAGCCAGAATGAAGAAATTAATTTACAGTTGCTTCCCCCGCCGCCTACACACTCTGCTTAGTTATGTACGCGAGCGCCCGCTGGCGGTGAAGATGTAGACTCTAAATGGTACATGTAGAGTCTACATGTTAGATGTAGAATATACATTATATATGTAGACAACAAATGTAGAAAAAATATTTAAAATGTAAAATCTTTTAAAATTCTACATAAATTGTAAGGTCAGACTGTGTTCAGTCGCATTTTTATGAATTAATTAATATTACATAATATACACTTATCGAATAAGTCAGGTCCACCCATGTAACGGGAGACATAATAACAAACGGCAAAGCATTGTAGCTGGGTTAACAATAACCGCTTGTGCAGCAATTTCTGCCAACGATGCGATCGCTCTTCAGAGGGCAATAGCAATGGTGCAATTGCTGAATATCACAATTTCCCAATAACACAATATCATATTAAATCCAAATTAATTCAATATTAATTCCAATTCCCTTTTACCATATTCTTACTAGACTCAGCACTTTCTGTACCTTTTGTTACCTATAAATAGAATTTAAGTTTGTTGAATAAAATCAGTATCAGAAACAGTACCATCACTGCCTGTTCACTCATTCTCTACAACTGCAATCAACAGAGGCTGTCGCCGTGTCTTCAGACCCTCATTCGCTCGACGTAGGAAACCCTCTCCGCAGTCCAACTGGTTCAAGTTCTAGTTTCGACGACGAATTTGTAAACGGTTTATGTACCGTATGCATACCAAATCACACACACACACACAAACACACGGACCCGGACCCTAGGGAGACCCCTAAGAGGACGAGGGAACCTGCCAGCCCGGCAAGCTCGCAGAGAACGACGCCGCCCAAAAAGAGCAAGGCATCCCAGGAGGCAACCTGCCTTTAAAACCTCGTGGAGTTGGGGGAACTATTGCAGGAGGTGCCCACCAAAATGATGGACAAGGCTTCGCGCCACATCACCATCCCCACGAGGGCGACGTTTGTGCGCATGGAGGTGCTTCACTCGAGCATCCTCGAGGCGTGGCGAGCAGCCGCAAAGGGCGAAGGCGGCAGGCAGGAAGGCCACAACGCCGAATTCATGTGCCCGAAATGCTCACAGAGCACACAGAGCGCTGATAAGGAGCAGCAGACGATGAAAGTCTGGACCAAGGAGGCCGCAGCGCAGACGGAGCCGTGGCGAAGGCTGAGCCAGCCGGCCGTGGAGGAAGAGGACGCGACTCACAGCGTTGCTAGGAACCCCGAGAGCCCAGAGAACCCGGAGAGCGGATGGAACGTGGTAGCCAAAAAGCCGAGGTCTGCAAGCCGCGCACGCCCAGACGCGATCGTGGTGCAGGCAGGCGGCAAGCCATACAGCGAGGTACTGGCCATGGTGACTAGGAGGGAGGACAAGCAGCTGTCGGACCTGGGAAGCTGCGTCAGCAAGGTACGTCGTACCATCAACGGCAATCTTCTGCTGGAGGTGGCCAAAGATAGTGCGCAGAGCATCGCGCGGGTCCTCGGCGATGTAGCGTCAGTGCGTGCCATGACGGAGGATAACAAGGTGGTAGTGCTGGAGATACGCGATCTCGACTCCCTCGCGACGGAGCGGGAGATCTGCGCCACTATCGCGAGCCAATTTGGAACCGAGGAGGGACGAGTGAGTACGCAGTCACAGTTGGCAGTGGTCAGCTTGCCTTTCTCCTTGGACAAAGCCGTCCTACAGCGCAGTGAGGTGCGGATCGGTTGGACCGTCTGCAGGATCCGGGAGAGAGAAGGTCTCCCAAGGTGCTACCGATGCCTGGAACCCGGGCACATTGCGGGTAACTGCAAGAGCACAGTGGATAGGAGCGGCTGCTGCATCAAATGCGGAGAGCAGGGGCACAAGGCAGCCGAGTGCAGCAATGAGCCATCGTGCTTCATCTGCTCAGCAGCTGGCAAGAAGGAGGTCAGGCAGAAGCTGTCCAGCCTCAAGCAGCGGGGTCGGAAATTCCAGACCAAAATGCAGGTGATTCAACTCAACTTGAATCACTGCAGAGCTGCGCAGGATCTCCTGGCGCAGACGGTGCGCGAACTGGGTTCGGAGGTGGCAATCCTCAGCGAGCCCTATAGGGTGGGCAGCAGCAGCGAATGGGCCACGGACCGCTCTGGCAAAGCGCCCCTGCGGCTATGCGGAGCGGAGGCGCCACAGATGCGCGACACCAAGTCGCGCTCCGCAGAACGTGCCTCCGCGCCAGAAGGCAACGTGCCAGGGACACTTCGCGCCTAGACCTCTGCATCGAGCGCTACAAAGCAGCGCGGAAAGAGCTGAAGAACACCATCAGGGACAGCAAACGGGAGTGCTTCCTCAGGCTGTGCGACGCAGCCGAAGCAGATCCCTTGGGATGCGCCTACAAAATGAAGAGGCTCAACGCGGGCGGCAAAGCCCCAACTGATCCCGTGGTACTGGAGGGGATAGTCAGCGCCCTGTTCCCGCGAGGACAACAGGTTGAGAGTCTTCCACGGCCCGAGATTGGCCTAGAAGAGATCTCCGAGGTCACGGTAGAGGAGGTACGAGGTACAGGCGGGCAGACACCTTAAGCCCAAGAAGGCACCGGGCCCTGATGCGATTCCCAACAGAGCGCTGAAGCTGGCACTATCGTTGCTTCCGATGGAAGTTGCTGGGCTTTTTAACCAGTGTCTGCAGAAGGGTACTTTCCCCGAGAGGTGGAAAAGGCAACGGCTGCTTTTGCTGGCCATGCCGGGCAAGCCTCCAGGAGAGGCTTCCTCGTACAGGCCCATCTGCCTCCTGGACACAATTGGGAAGGTCTTCGAGAGAGTGATCGCAACGAAGATGAGTGCAGCTATCGAAGCTGCTGGCGGTCTCTCCCCGGACCAATACGGCTTCAGGAAGGGAAGGTCAACGCTGGACGCTATCTCGAAGGTCGTCGGAACGGCAAAGGAGGCTACCGCAGGAACCAGGTGGAAAGGTTGGACCAAGTCCTCTTGTCTAGTGGTGACACTAGACATCAGGAACGCCTTCAACTCGGCCGACTGGAGCCGAACGCTGGAGGCCCTGAGAGGCTTCAACATCCCGGGTTACCTGCTGAACATAGCCTACAGCTATTTCAGTGCCAGGGTGCTGACGATGGACACGAGTTTGGGTTCCAGGGCATATGAAGTCTCTGGAACGCTATGTACGATGGAGTGTTGAGGCTTCCGATGCCAATCGGTACAAGCATGGTAGGCTTCGCGGACGACGACCACCACTAGTCGCAAAGGAACTCGCCGCGGTGGAGAAAATCGCCAACGAGGCTATCCACTTCGTTGAGTCGTGGCTGGAGGTCGCAGGACTAGAGCTGGCGGCTCAAAAGACGGAGGCGGTGCTCATATCGAGCCGAAAAGCGGTCGAGACAGCCAGAGTGCAGGAGCACCTGGAATACGGCCACTGAAAGGCCAGCGGGACAGCAGGATCGCTCTCTCCTAAACACCAGAGGCCCAAAGCAGGCAACGCGGAAGCTGCTGACGAGCGTCGTGACGTCGCAAATGCTTTACGCCGCGCCAGTGTGGGCGGAGGCAGCAAAGGTAAAGAGTTATATGCGAAGGCTGGAGGCCACGTAAAGGATATGCGCCATCAGAATCACGTGCTCCTTCAGAACCATCTCGGACGAAGCAGCGCTGGTCATCGCCGGGCAAATCCCTCTCGGTAAGCTGATACTGGAGAGGAAGGAAGGACGCACACCCTCATCCCGCGCATAGCGTGCTGGGTGGATCGGAAGCACGGGCAGGTAGATTTCTACCTCACCCAGGCTCTGAGCGGGCACGGCTGTTTCCGCAGCTATTGGTGTCCAGAGTGTGGCACTGGTATAGTGGAAGACGCTCAGCACGTTCTTTTTGAGTTCCACAGGTTCGGCTACGAGCGGCAGGAGTTGGAAGCCGCTGCAGGGACAAGAATAAGCGCGGAAAGTGGTGCCGCTGATGTTGGCTGAGCCAAGAGTTTGAGAAGCGGCCACGGTGTTCGCCTGTAGCGTGATGAGAACGAAGGTCCCTGGAGAGAAGGCGGAAGGAACGGACGGAGTAGGTGTCCTCGCGGCGGCAAAGCAATGCCTTGCGGCAGTACCGCTCGACGCACGACCCCTACCCCTACCCCCCATCACCCCCCTGTCCGACACCCCTTACTGTTATTGTTATTGTTACTAGGTGTAAGCCACGCTAAAGTTTAAACTTAAAATATATGAATACAAAAAAAAACATTAACATAAGATGACCCCGACGCAGGAAAACCTGCAGATCACACTGAAGAAGTCAGACTCTTCAACACAAACTGGCAGCAAGCCACATACTTACGGTAGAATCTCCTACCAATAAGCAGAACAATTTGGCAGAAATGTCACTTTCAGATCATCAGCCAACAAGATCTACGATTAATAATATGAAGATCACAAGTGCGTTTCACCAGCACAAAACCTCCATTCAGTACGTCATCTGTA